TTAAAAACTGTTGTAATGAGCACAGAAAAGTGAGTATTGAAGGGTAAGTTGGCTCCTGAACTGCCTGGCCTGGAGGCTAAAGTTTGTTAGGTCACCTCTAAACTGTCCCAAGATAGCTGCGACCAGTTGCTGATGTCATATGTGGGCTCCTAAGCCTTTTCATCTAGTATTCTGAACTCAGTAACTGCTCTGCACCAGGTTCACTGAGCAATCCATTGGCAATCAAAATGAGAAGCATGTGGATTGAACTGTTCCTTGCCCCACAGGTTACTCGGCCAGATGCAACAGGATGCTTTGAAGAGCAGTGGTTTATGTACCGCTCTTGCTAAACTAATTTTTCAGATCTTAGTCCAAAACTGTCTATACCCGAGTGGGAAACCCATCTCTAAGTATGTATGCCATAGTGCAGTGCTAGTCTGTAACTTCTCACCATGCTTTTTCACAGATTAACTTTTTGTATGCCACCTCACTAGCTAGATCTCTTACAATATTTGTCTGCAGACCTGTTCCTGACAGTTTATATATCTGGGAAAAATTCTGGTGGTGTTATGACCTTCGGACTTGATGTATGACGTACTGAGCTGCTCTGTGGGATCTGTTGGTGTGACCTCCTTAAAGGATTCTGCACAAAGATATGGGGGAGTCATCCTAGGGAGGCCACATGTAAGACTGCAGCCATGGGCTCCAGCAGTCTTGCTTTGCAATGGAGGGAATCTTACACATGCTAATCACAAATACAGTTTCTCAGAAAACTATCCCTGACAATGAGAAGAGGCTTTTAGTATCTTAGAAAGAGCAAATAGATTCTGAAGGACTTTTAACCTTAATCAGCAGTGGTACATAAAGCACTGTCTTGGGTGGTAAGATGTCTTTAAAAAAATCAAAATATGGAAAATAATTGTTAGCTTTTTTAAGTTACATTAGCTGCTCTGCTTTCTCCATTTCTGTCTTAGTGTTAGAAGCTGATAATACTTTACTGGCTTGTGTTGTTGGTATGGAATCTGTGATTGTGAAATAAAGCTGTGTGTTCCCATCTCATGATTTTTTATTTCTATTTTTAGCTGAAGTTAGCTTCTGCACTCCTAGACTCCCTGCCAATTGTTGGGTGTTTTTTTTTTAATTGCCAGTGTTACAAATTTGCTGTGTTGCTTGTTTAATTCTGATAAAATAGCTGATCGTTGACAAGGATTCTGGATGAAAAAAAGTTACCAGGTTTTAAATTTAATTTAAATTTAAATTTTAAATTAATTTAAATGAGTTTTTGGTTTTTAAAAGAGAATTTTCCAAGCCTTCTACATTATACAACAAATTACTCTTTTTTTTAGTACTTAACTAATTTATTTTTTCTTCTTGAAATGTAAGCATTTGAACAAGTGAGAGAGTGCAGCTGTCAGAAGATTAACCAGCTGAAAACTATTGTCAGCATTAATTTTGCTGTAATAAATGACTCTCTGAAGCTATTTAGCAGTCTGTAATCTAGATACAAGGCTATTGACCTATGATGGATAGTACTGGATTTTGTTTGTAAGCTTTGACTTAAATTGTCTACTTAATTTGCTGCAGGTCAGATCACAGGATTAGTGGTAAAGGCCATTATGTGGTTTGAATAAAAATAGCTAGAGGAATAGAATGAAAATCATTGTGTTTATTAATGTAGCAATCTTTGCAGTCATGTACATAGTAAACTAGTAGCCAACAAGATGACAGTGACCTATTTGTGTTAGGGTTTGCTCTTAGCCCAGTCCTGTGAGTTGCCTGGGGAGGAGTTGTTAAGTAAGATTAAGGATTGGGTACAAATAGGGTGTCTTTCAACCTGAGCAGGAAGAGCTTTACCACTCTAGATATTGGTGCCTCATAGACTGATAGTTTGTAAATCTATGGGTCTGACCAAGTTCTTCTGGATGCTCTAGTTCTGGACTCACCAGTTTAAGAAAGATACAGATTTACTAGAGTGGGTCTGGCTAAGCGCCATGGAGATGATGAAGAGACTGAGCACCTTTCATTAGAGGAGAGAGAAAGCTGAGACTGTGTACCACAAAGAGAAGGTTCAGGGGGGATCTTATCAATGTCTGTAAAAACCTGATGAGAGAGAATGAAGAAGAGGGAGCTGGGCTTTTCTCTGCAGTGCCCAGTGACAGGACAGGAGGCAATGGGCAAAAAGTAAAACAGATGGTGATTGTAGGAGGTCCCTTCCAATCCCAGCAGTCCTGCAGTTCTGTGGCTCTCGGTTGTAATATAGGTTGAGCAGCTACTTCATCAGTGGAAGCCTCTTTCCTCTACTCTGTTGCTTATTTTCTCATAACTGTAGGCTTTTCTTATTTTTGAGACCTTGATCTGTCAAATTTGTCTGAAATTATTTGGTGACTTCAAAAGATGGTACATGTTCGAAAGCAGGATCAGGGAAATAAATGCATAACAGATACAGAAAGGGGCATTTGTAGACATAGAGGAGTTGCACAAAGACAATGCATCAAGTGAAATTTTTATGGGAAAGCAAACAAAAATTCTTAAAATTCTTCACTGTGAGGAGCTGCAGTGTGGCTGTCCTTGATGTCAGAAAGGAAGTCCAATGCCAACCACTTCATTCTTTTGCTGTGGTATAGTGGTTACCTAAGGCTTAAACTTGAGATAAGCTTTGATTAGCATGCTATGATTGCACACTTTATCAGAACTTTTTGTGCACAAACTTGGTTGCCATGGTGGCTTAGTTGTAGATTTATTATTTTATCTTTCTGATATTTTATCCTGCATAATTTCATTTATTAATGGGAAACAAGGAAAACAGAAATGCCCTGTGTAAGTTACTTTAACAGAATAACTTCCTGTTGTTTGAGGTTCAGCTGTATTTTTTCGTTTGTTTTACAAAACACTTCAACTAATAAACTTTTTAAGAGTGCATTTTCATTTGTTCCTGCACAACATCTAGCTCAGCAAAGGCAGTTCCAGTTACACTTTGGAAACTATTTCAGTTGAAACATTTCTTAATGTTTCTTATGGTAGCTAGTTCGTGAGCAAGAATTATGAACCACAGCTGGAGAGCAGCCTGACTTATGGTAGAAACAAAATGGTCCACCGCGTGGAGTAAGAACAAATTTTCACTTGGACATTCTGTTTGTAAGAACACCATACCTAGTTGAGCACATTTAATTTGAAAGCAGGTCATCATCTGCAGCTGTATATCCTAACAGGCCAAAGTCTGATGCATAGCACAGAAAATGTATAGTAGCTATGCTTCTTGACAAAGTGAAAAATAATGAGGAAGTTGATGTGTTCATCAGTTTGGGCCAAATTTTCCTAGCAGCTAGCAGTTCTATCCATTAAATGTTGTGGATAAGATTAAGGTTGTATCACTAATTCATGTTAGAATTAGGCTTCTTTTAAGAAATAATATATTTCATGGAGATTATAAATATCGCATGACAAAAAAAAATGCTGGTTTTGTCCTTAGGAACTGTATAGTAAGTTCAAGGTCCTACATCTGTGTTGGGGGCAATCCCAGGCACAGGTTGGGCAGTGAAGTGATTGAGAGCAGCCGTGTGGAGAAGGACTTGGGGTGTTGGTTGATGAGACACTAAACATGAGCTGGCAGTGTGCGCTTGCAGCCCAGAAAGCCAACCGTATCCTGGGCTGCATCAAAAGGAGCGTGACCAGCAGGTTGAAGGAGGTGATCCTGCCCCTTTACTCTACTTTTGTGAGACCTCACCTGGAGTATTGTGTGCAGTTCTGGTGTTCTCAGCATAAGAAGGACATGGAACTGTTGGAACAAGTCCAGAGGAGGCCATGAGGATGATCAGGGACTGGAGCACCTCCCATATGACGACAGGCTGAGAAAGTTGGGGCTGTTCAGTCTGGAGAAGAGAAGGCTGCGTGGAGACCTCATAGCAGCCTTCCAGTATCTGAAGGGGGCCTACAAGGTTGTTGAAGAGGGACTCTTCATTAGGGACTGTAATGACAGGACAAAGGGTAATGGGTTCAATCTTAAACAGGATATTTAGGTTGGATATAAGGAAGAAATTCTTTACTATGAGGGTGGTGAGGAACTGAAACAGGTTGCCCAAGGAAGTTGTGAATGCTCCATCCCTGGCAGTGTTCAAGGCCAGGCTGAACAGGGCCGTAAGCAGCTTGGTCTAGTGGGAGGTCATCTAGTTGCAGCCCCCTAAAATGGGTCCTTTCCAACCCAAATCATTCTATGATTCTGTAATCAAAGAGCTATGGTGTGCGCTTACTGACCTGTGGTAAAGATAGGGCAGACTTACAGGAACTATATAGGAACAAAACTGGGAACAGTGTGTTTGTGTGTGAGAGAGAAAATCATGTTTACATTGTTTTTTACAGAGTTCTTTCTGTCTTTCTGTATGTGTTAAGTTTAGGAAACGTAACACAAAGTTTCTGAGATTAAGTAGAATTTCGCTTCAGGTTAGAAACATAGCAGACTGCAGAGGTTCAGAAGGCTTGGTTTTATATGCCTGTGTCCTTTAGATGTTCCATTATGTGACAATCAGGAAGCGTTAATGAAAATTAGCCCAGGTTTGGAAAAGCTGATAAAAGCAGAGTTAACTTTGCGCAGTAGTTTGTCAATAGTCGCATGGGAAGAGTAGTGCGACAAAACAAAATTTTTATTTAGTAGTTCAGATACAGTGAATTTTGTGGGGTGCGAAGGTGCAGGAAGGATTGATTGTTTCTTCATATGAGGCTACAAAGAGCAACATTGTCAGTTTTCTGCATTTCTTGTGAATTGTTTCTCTGCCAGTATGCCTGAATCTAAGGTGACTTTATCTTCACCAAATGTTTGAGAATTAAGATCTGTGATCCTGTAAGTAGTGGGACTATAGGCTTACTGGAACTATAGGCTTACTTTTACATAGACTTTGAGAAGTTCAGAATAAGTGAAGTATGAAGCGCATAACTTTTACATCATCAGACCCTTACTGGTAAGATAAACTACATAAGTTGTTTTTTTTTCAAATAGTGATATTAAATCCAATGTTGCCTTGATTCAGGTGTTGGAGCTGCTCGGGCTGGAAACCTTACTTTCATGGTTGGTGGAGTGGAACAAGAGTTTGATGCTGCCAAAGAGTTGCTGACATGTATGGGTTCTAATGTGGTCTACTGTGGAGCGGTTGGAACCGGACAGGTAATGCTTCCTGAGGCATTGCTAGTTACCTCAATCTTTTATTTTTGTCGCGTTGTTTTTCTTTACCGATGCCTACTCTTTTATTCCAGAACTAAAAGCATGTTAATATCTCTTTATACTTATTTGCTTGTTTACTTGTCTTCAACCATCTGTTTATAAAATAACCTCATGGCACTCTTCTCCACCATGTTGCATAGCTTAGCACCAAAACATCTGATGTGGTACTTCTCCACACTGGCTTGATGATACTATACTTCTTAGAGGGCACAGGTTTAATTTTGTTTCTTCTGAATTTAAGTTTACTGAATGTTCTGAAGGACAAAGAGCCCCATACGTGCCATGTATACTAACTGATCTATTGTACTAAATAAAAAAGGAACCATAGGGCAGCTTTCATTAACTTTATACTGTCATAGATCTGTGCTTACTGCTGCTGCTTTTAGAAGAGAGCTGTCAAACCAGATTTGATCATACTGCCCCAGACCTAGTTAAAGAAGATTCTTACGTGTTAGGTCTATGAAAACGCAGAAACTAATTGATAGTTTAACTTATTTTCAGGCTGCAAAGATCTGCAACAACATGCTTTTGGCCATCAGTATGATTGGAACTGCTGAAGCAATGAATCTTGGAATCAGGTTTGTTTGATTTATGCTACTGGATTGAAACCTTTTTCACTCTGTTAACAGGTTTTGTGGTTTACGGTTGACTTTTGCTGAGAGAATGATGGTTAGATGGCATAGATAAACTTTTGCCAGAAGTTCTCCTATAAAACATGCTAAAGGGATTATTTTACAGAAAGTATGGCTCTGCACAACAGGAATATTCTCTTATATTGGCTGTATAGGTTACATTCTGCATCTGAAGTTATGAGTTCATTTGTTCTGCTGTAGTGCAATGTACAATAATGTTTATCTTGCATTATAAACATGTAGAGGTAATATAAAGGTGACTGTATTCTAAGCTAATGCACAGTGTATTCAGAGTATTACACTCCCATATGGCTTGTTTGCTTTGCTAAATTGTTCCAAAATATATTGTAAAGTAAAATTTCCAGTACAGTGTGTGTATCAAATTAAGTTTCAAAGCATAAAAAAGAATATCTACCTTTCTGTTTGACTTTATCACTGCAGTTTGTCCTAATTGCCAGAACTGCTACTTTGTCAAAAGGATGGAGTATGCTCCACTGCATTATTGTCAATGCTAAAAGTACCATTTCTTTTCTAGGAGGTAATACATTTGACTTTAAGTGGCAGCATATTGAAGCAAAATTATTTTTCCATTCCAATTGTATCCTATTTATTTTGCTGTGGTCTTTGGGATTTTGTTTTGTTTTCCAATAGAGTGCATGGAAGTACCAGTTCAGTATCACAATATTTGAACCTTTCATAAATTCTCTTATCCAGATCTAAGTAATTTGCAAATTTATAAACAGGCAAGTTTTGTTTAAAGAGATTATCCTGCAATTGGGTATATTGTAAGGGCTCTTCATGAATTATTTATTTGCACAGTTGCATCCTAAAGTTGGCCTGCTAAAACTACAGATACCATAGATACTTACCAGCTGGGCTTTAGACCATGTGTTCGTGTGGTTTTGATACACTATAAAAGCCAGCAAGAGGGCATCAAGTGCTTAAATAAATAAAATAGAAGGCCTACATATGCACACATATACAAGGCAATGTAATGGATTCACATTTCCTCTTAATTACCATATCAAGATGCAGTTGTTTTATTGAATTGCCCTTGTCTCAGATGTTAGACTATCTTGACCTATTAAGTTGTCATGTTGTAATTGAGATAAAAGAGGAATTTGCTTTGCATCAGTGCTAATTGGTTTATCAATATCCTGTACCATTTACATTTTAAAATTGAGAGTCTGTAAGATACTGAAGCATGTCTGCATCAAGCTATAATAAAAACAGTAGCATTGTTTACAACTGTTGTAGTCCAATGTAGTGTAAAGCTTTCATCAGGTTCTGGTTTAAGTCATTGTTCACTTAATATAGCATGTGCAACTGATTTTTCGTTATATTTTTATCTACATTTGTAGGAATTACTAGAGTTACAATTTGAGATAAAATAAAATCAAGAGATTTGGAAGACACATATTCTGGCCATGTAAGCCCTGTGCAGAATGAGTTGATGTCTGCAGGCACTATAGCTTGAGGGGTTTAGAATTTTCATTTTTAATTTTGTCCTTTTGCAGTTTAAATTTTGACTGAATTTATATTTAGCATTTCTAAACAGAAACCCAATGTGAAGGTGACTATGCAAGCCTTCCTACCCTATAATCATGGTAATCAAGGAGGAACTGTATTTATTTAGAAGAAACCTCCTAATTGAAACCCAAATTATACAAAGAGCAGAGTCTTGTTTGTCTGAAAGCTGCATGAGATTTAAGACAGATGCAGTAATTTAAAGTCTTACGAAGTAATTTAGAGCCCTTGCATTGATTTTAATGTGCTGTGATTTAAATCCTGGAGAAGATGGTTTCTGCTTGTAACTAAAATAAGAGCTTTTTGCTTCTGGTGTGTACAAATTTCTTATGTACAAATTCACAGTTGCAATTCTAATTCTTAGTTTTGCTGTATTAATACATTTATTAGATTTTTTTTTTTAAGTCTAAAACTAGAAGGATAGTATGGCTGCCTCATCTGGAGAGAGTAGGAAGCTGAACCTGATTTATTAGACTGATGTATATCTGGTGAAGAAACTCTGACTCTGACCTAATAAAGGACACTGGGATTCTAAAAAATTCATAATAGGAATTAGGGAGCTTAGACATGTTCTCAACTTTAGATAGAGTATAAAATATTGTCATGCCATGCACTGTGTATATCTGCAGCATCATTTAAATCTTGAGGTTTAGGGACTTTGGATAATTAATTATTCAAAAAATTGCTGACTGAACTAGCTGTAGCTAGAAAGTCATATTACAGCAGCTTCCAGAAACCAATATATACTCTGAGCTGATACTACCACAATGTCCTCAAAACAGGGTAGTATTAATTCTATTAATAAGCCACCTTTTCTCTAATGTTTTCCTAAACCATGTAGTCTAAATTTTCATGTTCTGAAGCAGAGAGTTACTGGTTTATTCATTTCAGATTTTTAAGTTACATCTGCTATTGGTTTATTTATTTCATATTTGAAGTTACAGGATTTTTCCAAACTTCAACATAAGTAGTAAATAGAATGTGGTGGGGAGGAAGGAAAACAGACATTAATGAACAAAAATTCCACAGTGAACTCCCAGAAAAATAGGCAATATTTCTGTGTAGCTTCTGAATTTATATTTCACTCAGTTTTCTGCTTTAACATCACCTTTATGTACAAATCATCTTCATTAACAAATGAAGATGTGTGGTTTCATTGGAAGTGATTTTGTTTAAATTTCAAACTAACATTAAAAAATAAAAATCTATCCTGAGTTCTGACCACTGAAATTCTTGTTTTGTTATAGTTTGGGTTTTTTCCATTAATTTCCTGATGCTTTACAAATGGTGCCACTGAAAGTTAGAATGTGTGGCAGGTGTTCTGGAAATGAATTCACATTGTCATTTGTATTTTCTTTCTGTTCTAGCATGAAAGTGCGACTTGTCTGTAGAAGAATCTTGAGTAGATTTTGCTATACAGTTTTACAGATAATGTGGGTATTGCAAAATGCCTTACTGACCATGTCAAACCAATACACAGAGTACATGTAAACTTCACAAATAGGAAATAAAAACATTAGGTGAATACTGTCCACAGCCAGAGACTATTTTTCTTTTTGCTGATCATCTCAGTGTCAGTAACTTTCTTTTACTGAGCCCTGAGTTCCAGTGATATAATGTGGAATACTAGCAAAATAAAGATCAGAAATTAAATATTGTTAATACCTGGTTTGTGTTTAGGTCAGGTGGAAGTTACTGCCTGCCAAGGAGTTTGCCATCCCTTCAGAAACTGCCTGCACAGGCACAGGGAAGGGCTTATATGGCAACACAAGGCAGGGCAAGACTGTTTAATACGGTTGGGATATAAGGGACCAGGAGAGGAATAAGGGCTCTATGGTAATAACCTCACTGCAAAATCACTTTTGTGTTTCCAGCAGTAGAGAAAGGCTTCTCTGTGAGGGGGGCCTGCAGAGGCACCCAGATTTATGCTAAAAGTTGCAACTACAGCTCTTTCCTAAGCAATTTTACTGTGTATGGATTTGTGCCTGCTTCCTTTTTAAGATACATAAAGTGAAACAATGGTAAAAGAACCTTGTCCTCTGATGCTAAGTCTAAATGTGCTTCAGTCTCTAGATCTGGTTTCTGTGAGCACCCATGGATTGCAGCGGAAGACATGAGCAGAAATGGGAGTCAACAGCACAGAGAGGAGCATATGCTGCAGGCTGAGGGATGATTAGCCCTGGGCACATCCCCACTGCAAATTTAGAGTGCCTTGAAAAAAGAGAACACTGCAGCTCTCTGCTGTCTTCGGCATGGAGCTATAGCTAAATGTTGTGAAAGTTAGTAATGACACTTGAAAGCACTTACCTTGTTTAAATTGCCAATGGCAAAGTCATTTTTAGCTGTGGTAGAAGGGTCCTAAGGGTCTGCTTGAGTATTTGCAATTTCATATGGTATTTGTCCAAAGCACCTTGAGACAGGAAACTCTCAACAGTTCAGCTACTTCAGTTGTTACACCTTAAAATGAGACAAGGATGTATCTTTTTTGTGAGATGCCATTTAATTTTTCTGTCTGTTTCAGACTGAAATATTGGAGGAGTGTATGAAAATTACAGTACATGGTTTTATCAAAGCTCAGCAAAACTTGAGTTTTGAGAAGTGGCTCGCAGAGATCCTATTTTAACCTTTTTGGGAGTGTGCATGTATTTGTTGCTGAGTTTCTGCTCTTCAGTTCATTAGGAGTGTTATTGAAGAAGCGTTGATTTGAAGGAAGCAATTGGTTTTGCTCTGTTATAAGTACAATTATACATGGGTTTCTTCTCTGCTTATAAGGGAGAAGAACATTTTGGTAATTGTAAATTCACACGCGCATGCACAAGCTCTTGCCACATCCAATGGCAAGTTGTTATGGGGACTGGCAGACTGTCATCATTTTGATAGCTTGAGCAGTATATCTCTTGAACAGAAATGGAGCTCTTATGCAGAGAGTATCGTATGTTCCCAGCCAATTTACAGGGAAACAGCAATAACATTTTATCATGGTTGAGAGCCCAGTAGCTGCTTCCTATTAAACTTGCCCTTTCAGATACCTGTCTTGGATTAATTTGTTGATTTCAAATGGAAACTCAGTCTTCTCCACTGAAGCATGTCTTTCTAGGATAGACTCTCCTTGAATGACAATTACTGTATATTCTAGCTGGTTTCAGACCATTACAAGCTTTGGGCACAGGGGAAGACAGAGGACTTCTTCAGTAACTGATTTTAATATATGTCTAATTTTAACAGTCAGTTATATATGCACCAGTGGATGAATCCTCAGAAAGATGAAAGGCAAAGCACATCTAACTTGCTGTTATTAATGATACACTTGCTCAAAGGAGGAAAAAAATATATATTCAGGTCTCTTGAAGAGAATCTGTGTGGTGTTTAAGAGCAATGAATTTTGAAGAGGCAGGGATTTTAAACTGACACCATATTCCTTTTTCTTTTTCAAGAGCAAAAATATGCCAGATGTAGTGCAGACAATATTTCACATATCTGTATAATACACACATATCTTTTAAAGTATACTTTCACACTGTGAGAAGAGCATTCTTCAGGAAGGTTATATGTGTTTTGAAATAGCAAGCTCTCTGTCTTGCAGCATACTCTCAGCTGTAATTATGGGCCTCTGCATGCAGCTAGATAAGGCACAGGCAGGCACTGCATTGTTAAAAACACTGACCTGGGTGTAACAATGATAAGGAAACAAACAAGCCAAGAGATTTGTTTGGGGGAAAAAAAAAAGCAGCCTCTGTATATTTGAAAGCTCAGGTATTTCCTGCTCCCAGTGTGGGTTTTTTGAATGACAATTAAAGCTGTTATTCAGACTGGCTCTTGATAAAGATTTTGATGCACTGTGTAAGATGAAAGTACAATTCAAATACTGTGAAAATATATTGGTGCTGGAATATTTGGGGTTTGGGGATTTTTTTTTTGGTAAATAAATGGCCATCGAAAGCATTCAGTTGAGTCAGATGGTTGGAAAAAAGTGGGGAGGAGAATAAAGCTTGATCCCATTCAGGCCAGCAGGGGACTTCCCATTGAATACCAGGGGCTGCTGCAGCAATTCATAAATAAAAGTGCACAGCAGTAATGCTAAAAAGCTACTTTGGCGGTACAGAAAGTGATCCTAATGCTTTGTATTAGAAGGGCGGAATTGTGGGAGACACTTGCCGTCACAGGAACAGTAGTCATGCTGCAGGGCCCACTGTCGTAAGTGTATTTTTCAAATCTGAAATACCTATTGGAATAAATAGACATCAATTTTAGCAACTGTTCCATTGATAGCGAGCACCCAAAGCCTTGGGTCCTACAGCACCTGGAAATGGTGCTAGGATTGCCATGGCTAAGGAGATCTGCAAAAAGTCTGTGGTTTTAGAGCTAATGTAAAAAGTGTTGACTTCTATAAAAAATCTTTCTAGAAGGTTGTGATAGATCCCTTTTAGAATGTTCTTTCCTCATCTTGGAGTGTTACTGGAGATAATTCCCTTGCTTGCTTTTTTGTCAGGAGTGTAACTGAATATTTCTACAGGGCCAGATAAACTGCTGCTGCTTGTCACTGGTATAAATGCAGTTGGTGTAAAACTACACTTGCAACTTCATAATAGCATAAATATGAATTCATAAGAGGGTTAATTTCCTGTAATACTGAAGAACTTTCAGGGTCTACACTGAGCAGCAGTTTATGCCATCGGCTCCATGATAGAGCAAATGATGTTTCTACTTAGACAAGCTTTGTTTTATCGGGATCAGTAACCTTATCAACAGTTGACCCAGAACTATAATGCATGTTTGCGAATAGATAACATACGTCACAGAGCCAGATTTGCATGAGTATATGATGATTTAATAACAAATCAAAGAATGTACAGATGTATACAGCAGTAATATTTTTTAAGAAGTGTAGCATTTCTGTTCACATTAAAGCAGGATCATTTGCATTATCTTATATCAAAAATGCACTAGTGTTCACTTATAAACACATCACACAGGTACTTTCATGCTGCCACATTTGCTTGTGCTTTTTTTCCTTTGTTCAGCTTTAGAGAATATAATTTTGATAGGAGGAACAGCTAGGTGACCTAATAAGTAGCAGAACAGAAAATGCCTTTTAGTAATTGAAATACAAGGGAACTAATGTTCACTGAGGACCTTTATTTTTCTTGCACTTTCAGAATTGCTAGGTGAAGGGGATATGCTTAGTACAAAAGGAAAAAAGGTGTGAAAACCTACTGCTTAAATGGTGAATTGATGCTCTTTAATTCAAGATGCAGCATCCCTACCCCCAATATCAATACTCTGTCATTTTTCATGACTTATAATAAAGGGAGAGAAATGATTGTAGGGTCCTAAGATATAAAACAAGTCACCCATGTCTTGTGCATTTTGACATTAACACTTTTCTCCCTTGACCTTTGACAGATTAGGCCTTGACCCAAAGCTACTGGCCAAAATCCTAAATATGAGCTCAGGTCGTTGCTGGTCAAGCGACACATACAACCCTGTTCCTGGAGTGATGGAAGGAGTACCATCTGCTAATAATTATCAAGGTGGCTTTGGAACGACACTCATGGCTAAGGTACGTAACAGTTGCATGTAAAGTATGTGCAGTTGCTTCTCTCTGGGCTTCTAGCAAATGTTCTTCTCATTGAAAATTTATGATTACAAGGAAATATGTGTATATGAACAGAGGGGAAAACAACCTCTTAGGGTGGCTCTGAATTAATGTAGGGGGCTTTTCCTTACGGTCTAGACCCTTTCTGTCCACTGTTACTGCTGAGACACTCAGTGAGATTATATGCACTGTCTTTTTGAGTTCTGCCTTAATCCAGGAGTCCTGATGGACGCATGTGTATGGCAAGCATTCAGCAAGCCATTTAGGTACCTTTTACATGACTGCCCTACAATTTAGGAGCCTGAGCTCAAGAGAACAGTTCAGGGAAATCCAGGTGACCTAAGTAGGTGTGAATAGTGGCATAAACACTAAGATTTTGGGCTTAATCTCTTCTATATACCTTAAACTGTGCTACTGGACTAGCATCCCTTTTTCTTGCTAAGGCAACTGCCTATATGCTTGTCTTTCTGCCTAAGGCCATTTGTAATGCAGAAAGAGGTTTCAACGCACACCCAGCAGACTGATTTTTCTGCAGGTATCACCACGCTGTGAGCTCTACTGAATTGCCTTTGTTGGTGGCAGAAGTAGTGCTTCTTCTTATGAATAATAACCTAGTAATCAAAATTACTTGTCCACAAAGTGAGACATCTGGTCCTTCTCAGTATGAGGAAGTAAGTGGGAAACAAATCCTTCTCAGTATGAGGAAGTTGTAACCTGCAGTTATCCTACCCCAAGAGAATGTACTTACTGCTATGCTCTTGGCTGTTCTAGGAAAAGCTCTCTTCTGAGTCACTCTGTGGTCAGGAAAGCAAAGCTCTTATAGGCCAAAGGAAAGTAGGCAAGGAGGTCAGGGCCTGCATCCCACTGATGAAGACACACAGCTGGAGGAAGGAGCTATAGAACTCTGACTGTTGAACTACTTTTCTTTCAGTGCAGTGGTTGCCTAAGGTAAATTATGAAATCAGCCCTGGAAGAGAGCTCTCATCTAAGCATGCAAGTGCAGTAAATCTTTTCACACTGAATATTAGTATAATGGGGATACCGTCCTGAGGGAAGCATTTGTGTTCATACATAGAATCATAGGATGATTTGGGTTGGAAGTGACCTTAAAGATCATCTAGTTCCAACCCCCCTGCCATGGGCAGGGACATCTTCCACTAGAACACGTTGCTCGAAGCTCCATCCAGCCTGGTCCTTGAACAGATGGGGCAGCTACAGCTTCTCTGGGCAACCTGTGACAGTGTCTCACCACCTTCATAGTGAAGAATTTCTTCATAATATCTAATGTAAATCTACCCTCCATCAGCCTAAAGGCATTCCCACTTGTCCTGTCACTACACGCTCTTGAACAATGCTATGTTAAACTATATGGATGTAAGACTACTTGAATGAGACAGCTGATCATGTTCAGGATATTATTTGATGCAGTGGTGACCTCTCCTATGACACTGCTCCTTAATTTGTGGAAAGACTTCTGCTATGTCCATTTCATTCTGGTAAATGACATATCACGTAGATTGTGAATTGAGTTGGAGAATTTTTTTCTCGGAAATACAGAGCATGCTTTTGCCACTTAAGAAAAGAGAAAAGCTATAGTCAAAGGAGAAAGAGGTAGGCACAACCCTGAGGTTGAGAAGAAAATACTTCACAATGAAAATATACAAGTGACTCAGTAACAGTCACTAAACACAGTTACTAAACTTCAAGTTACTGCTCACATATCAAATATGGTAAAAGTCAAAGGTTTTCTTAAAAATATTTTGTCAGCAATGGGTGTGTCAAGCAAAGCCAGAGGATGCTTAAGTGTTTGGGACAGAAACGTTTGTGAGACACCTCAGAAAAGCTCTTCAGTCTTGAAATCTCATACTGAAACATAGAATTTGGTCAACAATGTGAAACCTTTTAAAAAGGTTTAAAAAAAAAATCTAGTTTACTTCACCTGTCCATCTTTGTGTCCAAGGCGTTGAAGGCCAGAAGTTCCATCATCCATTCACAGCACAGTTGCTAATTAAATGTCATCTTTGAATCCTGAAAAGAGGTAGATTTATGTCATACTATTCTTGAGTCGTGTCAGGACAGCCTTTCAGCTGTATTCCCAATGGCAGTTTCATTTATGTCAATAAAGGTAAGGAACCAGGTATTTCCAAAGTAAGCATTGGAAGCAGATTCTGAAAGAGAATTTGGTTCCCTATTCCAAGCTGAGAAAAAGCGCTTAGAATAGTCGGTACAGTGAGGCATCTGGAAGATGTCAGTTCCAGAGAGTATGACAGAAGCCATAAACAATTATCTGATTTTTACTTTTCCATAAAGGTCAGCAAAAGGCAAATTTATTTCAGAGCTGTTTTGTACTATTTCACTCAAAGAACTTCCAAACTCAAGACAAAAGTGCAAAACACCTCACAGCCTGAAAACTAAAGATAAGCTTTACTTACGTTTTGTTTGGTTATTTTTTTTTTTCTTCAAAGCTCTAATTTGTAGAATGGAATTTAAAAAAACAAACCAACCTTCCTGCACTTTGGGATTAGCAGTACTTGTCAATTTCATTATTGATACCTTAGCTGATGTTTCACCCGTCTTGGAGAGAGAGTTTCATTATTAAAGTGAACAGACCTGATCTATAAATTTATATTTGTGCTAGTAGTCTATTTATTCAGAATTTTCAGGGATTGCTTCTATGAATGTCCCTTAAGGAAGAAATGTATCACAATCATCCCTACCAAAAACAAGCACCTTCACTAGTTTGAAGTTGGCTATTTTGCCATTCTACTATTCCATGACACGATTTAAGCTTTTTTGAATAAATGGATGATATGGTAATAGGTTTCACATAAAGGGATTAGAAGAGGCTAGGAATATGTCATGGCATATCTTATTGTAAGTGATGTTAAAGTAACTGTTCCTGGATTTGTCAGGTCATCAGTCTTTCAACAGAATTGCTAGACAAGAAGGAATGATCTGCCCTGGTGCAGATGAAGAATATTTTGGACCCTGTGACATCTGATACGTATGTTTTTCCCATTTTCCTAGATCTTGAAGTCATTTGAGGGTAATAGGAAGAGTAACTGTAATTCTGATTGGTATCAGAATGACCTTTATAGAGCCGATTTACAGATCAAAGTGACATTTAGAGAGTAGAGTAAGATCTTGAATTTCCTTGTGCTAATTCAAATCCAGACACACAGAAAGTAAAGACCTGTCTTGTAAGTCATCTCTTGAGAAGCCAAAAGTGCATTCAGCAGTACTACAGTCACTCAGTTCTTCTGTATCAAAGATTTGTTATTAAAAGAAAATAAAAATTAAAACACATCAAATTTTATAAACCACCATAGTCCTGGATGGACAGAAAATCCAGGCATTTCCTAGTAACACTTGAGAGGTTCTTCAGCAACTTTTTTAAAATGTGGGCCACAAGCTGATTTTCTTAGCAAGACACTGTGTGCCGGCATTTCTTTCATAAACAAGAGATCTGTTTATATATCTAAGACCTTATTAGCTTTTCCTTCTTTGATTGCTTTCATGTCTGATTCAGGTTAGACTTCAAGACATCCTCCAGCCTGGCTTGTCATTTCTGTACAGCATGCGTGAAGCTGACTGTTTCTAGCTAACTGTGGTTTGTCATAGTTCCTGCTACTCACCTTTGAGTTCTATCCTATTTATTTCAGATTATAGGTGTAGTTGATGAAGGACTCTAGCATACTGTGATACTGTGTGACTCCTGGAGGAAAGGTTTAAAATTCATCCTCTTTGCAAAGTCCCCTTCTTCTTTTGCCCCACATTTAATATTTAAAAATGCAGTGGAATTATTCTCTATATCCCTTTATCTTCAGTCATTAAAGAAATCTTAATGTTGTAGCAGACCCAGGACAGTCCCCTAAGGAATTCTTTAATACATCCTTCCAGTTAGGCTGCAAACCATTCATATTCACAAAGTGGCCTATGCATCTCATTTGGTATTAACTAGTCACATTACAGTAAATGTATGTATGCTAAGTGGCTTCAAGTTTGTTATTATTTAAATCCTTCAGCTTGATTATTAACTTTTTTTTAGAAAGGAAGATGTTCTCTTGCCTGAACAAGAAAATTAGGACATTAGAACCTATGTGAAATGCTTAAGTGAATACCCGGGGAAACTTAGTTTTTGGAGATGACATAACAAAGTGAGGAAAACAAGTCTGAGTCTTGCTACCAGCCTATGTAGTGATCTAGACCCGTAAAATCCCTCCTGTCCTGAAGGAGATCACCTGCCTTGCAAAGTTTGGTTTTTTTCTGTTGAGTAACATTTAGTTACTGTTTTGAAAATTAAAAACTAAACAAAACTCCCTTCTTCCAGAACTGGAATTTTAAGGCTGGAGTGTTGCCTTTGTTGTCATTAGAGCTCTCTTCACAACAGAAACCAAATAACCTATAATATGTACTGGCTATTTACATCCTTGTTCCTCCCATGACTTTTTTTCTTTCCCTCTATTTTTTCTGTCTGCTGCCTTCCTCACTCTACTGCCTTCCCACAGGATCTTGGCTTGGCCCAGATTTCTGCCACCAACACAATGACACCAGTTCCTTTGGGATCCCAGGCACATCAGATCTACAGGATGATGTGTGCAAAAGGCTATGCCCTGAAAGACTTCTCAGCTGTGTTCCAGTTTTTACGTGAAGAGGAAACCTTGTGAGCTGTCCTTTGGAAATGGACATGATAACAAACCACATTTTTTTTATCCTTATGGCTCATTTGAGAAGTATGTGGGTTTAATCAGATACTGTGCGTCCTGATCCTATACAGACTAATCATCTTTGGTTGTCTAGATCACAACGAACTCCAGGGTTTTTTCATGATTCTTGAAAAAGCAAGCCAGAGGACGGGAATGTTTGGCAATTAGCCAGGCAGTGATTTCTTTTTTTCTTTTTGTTTTGTAAGAAGCATCAAAGTTTGTTCTTTTTTTCACTAGATGCAATAAATAAATACTTTTTTTATTAAACACTTAAATACTGCATAAAAAATAACTTACATTATGGCTACAAACTTAGGTGAATCTTGAATAGTAAAAGAATGTTGTATAATGATTTTATGACATAAAGTGATCTATTAAAATTAAAAATTAATACTTTATGGAAAAAGGGAATATTTGTTTAATGAAGAAACACAGCTCAAGATGGTTTGTCGGGTTTTTTTTTCCCTTGGACCTACTAAGCCTTGAATTGATCAGTAGTGAATTTTTCCTGGGATTCAGGTTGCAGATTAAGTTTATAGGCACACATTTCTAAGTGGAGAGCTGTTACAGCATGTTTACCTGTCAGACTTAGCTAAAATAGAATATGTGTCCCTCGTGTAAAGCTCCGTTACTGTATTTTGCTAACCCAATTTTATATTTTCTTGTTTTCTGTCACACATTTTCAGAACTCTAGAACAGCACTTATCAGAAGTTCTAACAAAGTGTACTTTTGTTTTAGGTAATTATTGGAGTATTTTAAATCTAAACAAACCCCATTATTTTGAAAAGAAATAAAAATCTGTACTGGTAAGTGGTTGCTGTATGATTATTTGCTTTTTGTTTTGATGCGCTCCTATACTCCCACAGTTAACCAAAACCTTGTACTAAGTTACCTCAATTTTTAATTTGCTTGGTTTTCTACAGATTATCTTGCAAAATCAAGCTTTTCAAGAGCTCTTGCTGTGAAATGAAGATGGTAATATATTTGCATATGTGTTACTTTAACCATTCACCATCCCTTTGGTCTTGCAACAGTACAGGTACACACTTGGCTTTATGAATAGCAATACTTACGTTGATTTCACTAGAACTACTTACATTCAAACTTACTTGCAGACTCTAGGCTTAATGGTCAATTATGCATTTACATTCCTGTTTTGGTTGTATGACAAATCCTTTTATATATGCACATTTGGGTAACAATTGTGTGCTCGAATTAGCTCAAGTCTGTGAATAATCTTCTGAAAATTTTGACATTATCGTTTAACACCTTAGTAACATTATACAGAAGTCATTAAACAGTACTGATTGATCTGTTCTCCTTTTAGTTTTCTTTGAAAACTGTTTGATATTCTAGGTTATTCAGGGATATGGGGCTCATGAATGTTATGTATGAGTGTAGGACTACTGTGAGCAATCTTACTTTTACAAATTGTTTGTCTCTCTTTTGATAAAACTACTGACTCCTGCCTCACTTAATACAGAGGATGGATCTAGTCTCATAATGAATTTGGGGGTGGGTAATAAAAGATGTTTTCGCCAGTAGGATCCTTGTTCATTTAGAAGTCTTGTGATAATGTATGAGGTAAGGAATTGTAGGAGAATCCTGGTTAAGTTTGTCTCTTCTGTATTTGACTTGGGGATCTGGCTGGCATCAGCAGGACTGCTGAGAGATGCTTCCTTTACCCCAGCCTGTAGCAGTGTTTGCTATGTGTTTGCTGGTAGCACTGGGATTACCAGTAGCCCTGGGCGTCCAGGAACCATAATCATTTGTTTTCTTTATGCATTATATGCACACATAAATGTTGGGATCTATGAGGGAAGAAATACACTCAGTGAGACTTTATGAAGTCTCTAGAAGCTTTTAGCTTCTGAAATCATAAAGTCTCTGTTACAAATGTGGAAACTTCATTGTTACTTTTATGTTTCTCACAAAGGCTTGTAGCTTAGGCTTCCTGGGATTCATTTCTCTTCCCCCACAACCTCTGATCAAATTTTCAGTTCCTACTCCAAAGCATAGGGTGCTCAAGTTGGAGGAAGGGCTGCCAGAATGCTATTTTGGCAAACCAGCAGAATGTTTTGTGGTCTCCTTCTTGGAGGAGGATTTTGGCTGAAATTAAAAACAAAACAACAACAAAAATCCAAACCCCCAGCTTGAGGGCAGACAGCCAGCATGTAAAGTTTTAGAACAAGCAGTTAGTTTGGCAAAGTTAGAAACAACTTTTTAACTAGGTCTTATTATGGAAAGTGCCTTGAAACTTTTAATGATGTCCAGTACCTGAGGCCAGTCATACAATTTATATTAGAATACACATTTCTTTTCCTAATTCTGCAGGGGAATGTTGTATGACTGGATACCTATAATGGTGGTGGTATTCATGCTAGCAATGCTATACTGCATGTGCATATAAATATAATGTATCTTTTGCTTGGGTTATAATTCTGGTCTGTGGAAATTAAGCAAGTAATAAACTTATTGTCACTGCCAGAAACAGGTGTCGAAAACTGTAATTTGTTGAGTTGAACAGAAAGATTGTAAAATTGGTTGAATTTCTACACTAATTACCTCCCAGTACATACACACAAATTAGGTGCAACAAATTAACTGCATATTTTGTATATGTCCCAAAGGGAAACTTGAGGTAACTTCTTTTTAAATTAGTTTGAATGTTAAACTAGCCCTCCCATCATGCTTAGTTTAGAAACTCATCTATATCAAATGCATTTATTAACTAACAGGAAAACATTGACAACCAATAAAAGTAGTGATGGTTTAAAAAAAATACATCCTAAGCAGCCTTCTCTCATTTATGAATCAGTATAACCCGTCTTGAGCGACTATTTTTGGTGGTCGTTTAACAGAGGAGGCCTTCTATTAAAACTGGTGAGTACTATATTGCTTTAACTTTATTTATGGCTCTTACAAGCCTCAGGAGGAAGAAGAGGTATTCTGACCAAGTATTATATGTGGTATTCTGGCTCTGCTTTAATCAGTGGGAATTTTGCCATGCGGTGCAATACAGCCAAGATTTCACAGTGTGTGTTGAATGCCCATGTGATTCCAGTGCAGATGTGGCCAAGATGTAACCCTGGAGCAGTTCGAGCACATCCCTCTAGCCAGGGATTGTGCCACATTACTGGCATCAGGAATATGAGAAGTTGGGGTGGTGGCCGTGAGAGGAAGGAGCCAGCATGAACTGCTGAAGTTGATACTGCCTGTCTCCTTCCCAGCCTTGTTCCACATCTCCCAGATGAGAGAGATGCTGAGTAGGACAGAACAGCTGCTGTCCCTGCCTGCCTGAGAACAGAGCTACCTGTCTTTTCAGCTGCTTAAATCTTATGGCTCTTTGCCACAAGAAGATTTTATTAAATGGTTTGTGGAACAGAAAGACTGTGGACACCCCTAGGTCAAGTAGAGAAGGGCTAACATCATACAGGGCTACTGTATTTATGCAATAGATGTCTTTCTATGCTTTCAGTCCACCAGCTTGATTTGTAAGACCAAATTTTTTTTTGTCCAGGCACAACACTGAGGGTACTAAACTGATTGGTAGCAATACCTGTTGCCTTCAGTTTGTATTTACATCATCATTGTTGGCTTCTCCTTCATATAAAAACAGATTTAAATCAGCTGTTCTCAAGAAAATTTGAGAATCCTGTCTGTCTTTACAAGGCTGGCTAATTTTGTTGTGGAAACTTCAAAGCAGTTTAGAAAGCTCTGTTGGGTTTTCTTGGTGCGCTGGCACATGTGGAGCTGGGGTTCTCTGCAGTATTTTAGACCTAAGGTTTGCTAAGACCCTCTTAAAGTCTGTGGGACTTGTGGGAGGGATGCCTTTTTATTGACTTCAGCCTGAAGTTCTTAGAACTGTTACTGCAAGCCTTGCAAAAGTGAAAAATGTGTTTCACTAGTGGGAGAAGTTCAGTTCAACATCTACAAATTAGAATAAACAGTGATTTTGACATGCTCAGGCTTTCAATGGCAAAGATGTCTTTGCCATTCTGTGCAAGAGCATAATGGATGTACAGTCTTTGAAGGCTACTGGTCTGTTTAAGATTTGTTGTTTTCTGTATGTGATTTGTCACAATCCATCCTGCCTGCTGGCACAGTTACACATTCATTTTTTTTCCAATAAGAATAGCAACAGTTACAAAATTCTCTTAGGTGGACAGAGAATGAGTATTTCGGTGGTTGCTGTGTTCAATACATGTATGACATGCATCTAGGTGTCCATATGGTGATATTTTTTGTTGTTGTTTTGGCATTCGCCATGGATTGTGAGCACTTGGGGTAAATTGAAACAGGTGGACAAGCCTTTCTAAACTACTCTATGTCTCATAATAACCAGTGTATAATTAAAAGCCATAATACATTTCAGTCCTTACAGCATTTTTTTAAATTGTATTTTGTCTTCTTGAATTTCCAAAGAGAAACCAGACAAGTAAAACAAAAGTAATAAATGTGGTCAGACATAAGCTTTATTTGGCCAGAATCAAGTGTTACTGCCGTCTGTCTTCCAGTTTGAGATGCATTACAGAACTAGCTTGGATTTATGCAGGCAATTTATAGAACCAGCAGCTGTAGCGAAGCAAGTGATGTGGGAAGCAACTTAAATAATACTTCTTAAAATCTCTGAGCTGCCTACTTTCTTCTGAGCACTTTCTTCCAAATGATTTAATGGTGTTAACTGGACTGTAATCACTGAATGCAGGCATGCCTGAGCCAGCTGTAAGCTAGCTTGTTTGCCTATCTGCAGATTTCTAGTCCCAGAGGCTTTCCTAGGAAGCTGGGTAAATAGTGGGGCAGCAGTGCTGTGTAGACAAGCTGTTTCCAGTAGCTAAACTGTCTAGTTTGTGGCTAGAAATAGTAGGCCATTTTTGCTTTCCAGTCATGTTACTCCATGACTGTAGAGCCTGGAAGCTTTCAATGACTGGTATTTAGTAGGCTAATAGTGCATTAGATGTTGTAGCTGTTACCTGTTTTACAACATCATCTTGGCAGTCTGTGCCTTTTTCTCTTCCTCTGTACGATGCCTAGGACAAGTCCCCTTGGTATTGTGTAATTGTGTCAGCCAGCCATCAGTCTGCTGTTCACAAAACAGACTAACTTCAGTCACTCACTGGTGATTGAAGCTGGAGCCACAGACACGTGGATTTAAGATATGCTTGGATTCTTCTCCATTTCTACACACAAGGTTTTCAATACAAGCTCTACCTTGTTTGAACCTGTGTATAGCATGGCACCAAGAGTCCGCAATATGTCAGGTGGTTCTTTTTTTCCTGCATTTGACTGTGTCTGGGGTACATTTACTGTTCGTGCTTAGAAATAGCCAATTCCTCATCCCTGTCAGGAGAAGGGGAGAAAAACACTGCTAAGCAATTGGAGGTTGGTAGGTCACAGCAGCTGATGCCAACATGTTACTCACACTGGAAAGCAATTGGGTACTGTCCCTACCCCATATTGCTATGACTTGTTTCCTCTGCTTGTCCCTGGGCAGAGAACTGTGTTAGCTTATGTGCATGCAGTGGAGCCTGTGATTAATAAAAGAGGAGAAGTAGGCAGCATCTTGTGCTGTGTGACCTATCAGGGGAAGGTGGTTTCTTGTTAAAGAGATAAGGGAACAACAATCTGCTCCCTCCGGCACCATGATAAAGACGGAGACACCAAGTCTGCAGACATCTTTAGATACCACCACTAAAGTCGCAGCCAGCAGAATGCAGTTCCTGTCCCGCACTGCACCACCCAGCTCTGCGTCTGAGCAATAAACATCACACCAGCCTCTCCAAACTCTCCCTGGGGCCACTTGTGGCTCT